ATTTATCGAAGATTGAGAAAAGACTTGTTCGAACCAATTAAAGAAAGAATGGTGTTCTCGTATATTATTGAGATAATCATAGAAAGAGTTGTGTATAAGTACACGTTCTTCTTTAGAGTAATCAGTAAAAAATTGCTCGCGTTTAAAACGGTTTCGTTGGGAATAGAAATCATGGCGAAGAAATTCTTTGTTGATTTTGAACTCTTGTGTAATGACATCAAGAGAAGAATGGATTTCTTCTTCAGGAAATGCAGCTTGTGAGGCAGTAGGAGACATATTTGGTGTTCTCGAGGTATTTATATTTGGAAAAAGAGTTGTGGGAGGTGGTGGAGTATAAACTGGCTGAGGTATGTTGTTGGAGTTGTTGATTCCTCGTAGATCATAGTTGAGTGTAGATGAGGTATGTCGAGTGGGTGTAAGTATGGGAGAAAGATTTCTATAAGATTGGCTTCTAAGAAAAGTATTGATGCGCTGTCGAGCATCGTCTGTCCATTCAGGGTCTATATCAGAAATGCTAGAGATGGAGTTCCTAGCAAAAGAGATGTTAACAGTACCATCAAGATGTTGAGTAATTTGATTAACCTGACGATGGTCGATGCTTCTGGGAATGGTAGCTCCTTCAAGGGTCCATTCTGTAGGAAGAGTAACTTCTCCCCATTTGATAGTTTTGGGAGTAATAGTGTTAGTACGAGTTAAATCAGTTTGCCAAAGTATAGTTTCTCCTTTTGTACCATATTGAGAGCTTTAGAAGAGAAAGCAGATTTCATAGCTTTATAGTCTAAGAGGTAAACCAAAGAGATAGGTAAAGATCCTGGTTGGATTTTATAGTTGAAAGTTTTTATTTGTAGGGTTAAAACATCTAAAATATTTTTGTCATGAAGAGAGACAGTAAAGTTTGGAAAACAATTGAAGTAAATTGGGCCATTACAAAGACTTGATTCAACAGTTCCAAGTAAAGAGTCGTTAAACTCAAGAAACCGACAATCTCGTAAAACCATTAAAATAACAGTATTAAGGCCTTCTTTGGATAGAGGCTTAATTCCTACTTGAACTAACCCAATATGGATATAGTTGTACTTCTTTTTGTGTTGTTGAATAGAATTTTGAGACAAAAGTTTGATAGTTTCATAATCATTGAAAAGATGAATATCTCTTTCTTCGGTTTTGATGGTATAATCCATTTTATTGGGGAAGTTAAATTTGCTTTGCTCATAAATTTCCTTTTGGGCAATCTTAGGAATTTGCCAATTATCAATTTCTTTACTAACAGTTTCAAAATTAATTTCTTCTTGGTTGATCACACGGTTCCCGGTGATGTCAGAATTAGAGGAAGAAGAGGAAGGTCTAAAAATCGAACTCATGACTAGAGGAAAGAAGGTAAACAAAGGTAGGATCTAACTTACAGGTGAGATAGATTAACGACCAAAGACGGTCTTACAACTCTCTCACAAAGGACTCAGCTAGGATCTAACCATGGGGTACCCATCTCTCAACTAATAATAAGTAAGAAGATTTAGACAAACCCTTCCCCCAGGCTCTGATACCAGAATCTTCAGGCCTTATTATTATTATTATTATTATTATTATTATTATTATTATTACTACTACTAATCCGTGATTGCAACCTTTTAGTACGCAACTGGCAACCCAACCGATCACGTATTATGGTCGAACCGCAACCCAAAATTCGGGGTGTTACAGTAGTGGTTCATGGTGCATTGGTAAACCGTTATAAAACCGTTAGTGAACCGTTTATAGAACCGCTCACACATATAAAATAGAAAAGACACGGAATAGAGACTAATTAAAATTTGAAATTCCATCAAACATAAACAATCAAAATCCTTACTATCCATCACCAAAAATTCTGACAAATAATAAAACTGTCTCACAAAAAATCCAACGAAAATTATATAAAAATAAAGTCATCATAATCCTAACTAGTAGGGCCACAAGTCCCTATCAACATCCATAAACACTCCTACTCGTAACAATCATTAACTCCACTACCACTAAAGATTGACGGAATTTGAACTCCAAAAATTGTTCATATCAACATTTCCTGCATCAACTCCAGTGGAGAGTGATAAATGTACGATGAGCAATGTTACCTATTTCACCCAGAGAACAAATATATTTCAGCATCAAATTCAGAGCATGAGCAACACAAGGAGACCAAGCAGATGTTACCATATTTGCTAGTTATCTTCCTCCCTGCTGCTACCATATTTGCTGCACTATCAGTTACCACATGCACTACATTTTCATAACCAATCCAATCAATCACATCATATAACAACATGGAGATGTTATGAGGATCCTTCACAATATCAGATGCATCAACAGATTTCACAAAGCACATCCCGGTCGGATAATATATGAGAAAATTAATAAGACTTCTCTGCCTCTGATCAGTCTAACCATCTGACATCAATGTGCATCCAAATTCTTTCCAGTCACTTCTCAATTTTCCAACCTGCAAATCACACTCTTTCTTGCAATCACTCAACAAGTTAACCCTTATATTTTTATAAGAAGGTCCTTGAAACCAGGATTCATGGCAGAAATAGCATCAATCATTGGCTGGAAGTAAGGAGACTGAATTTCATTGAAAAGAATGCATGCATCATAGAACCACTTAGCAATACTAAGATGCGCTCTTAGGGTGATTTCCTTACTAGCCAAGACACTTTTAAGTCCTGGTTGAGAACCAGGAGTTGTTCTTGGAGCAAAGTGTTCATCAATCCTATCAACCGATCTTGAGTCTATGTTTCCAAAAAAGATCTTTTCGAAGAGGAACATGGAACAAGAGCTTCAACATCAATAGTTTCTTTTTTACCAATATGTTGTCCCTCTTCATAATTCTCACTAAATGCTCTTTTTGCTGCTGCTTTTTGCTTCTTCTTATCATCAAAGTCCTTCAGATTTTTGCGCATCGTCTCACGGATATCATGAGACACCTTCATACATTTTTCAATATTTCCACCAACCCAGGCTAAGTGTTCTTTCATTCTATGAATCCCTCCCCCTTTGGCAATCTTGCCACATTCAAGACAAGTAAACACTTATTAACCTTCAATCACTTGATGATTAACATGTGCCCAAGCAGGATCATGTTTACAGGTTGGGTTTGAGGTAGGAGTAACATCTGATGGTGGAATTTGAGATGGTTGACTCTCCATCTCCCAATCTGCAAAATCAAAAGGTAAAGTACTTTTATTTAATTTATGTATATTATACTACTGTACTACATATTCCTTCCTGTTCTTGTGGTTTTGAAAGGAATTATTATATAAATTTGTCTTTGAATCAATCATATCACTCGCTTGACCATGTTTTAAAGAATAAAAGAAAAGCAACCAGCACAATAAATATAATTGTATAACACAATAGAAAGGAACCAAAAGACCAAAGCATAGATGAACCCACACACGCAAAGACCAAAGCATATGAGCATAAAAGACAAAAAGCTCTTGGGTGATCGGTTAATAGTAACAGAATATTGAAAAAATCACACACAAAGGCCAAAGCATGTTGGCAGATTAAGCTGAACCGAGAAAGCAGCAGTATAATATTGAAAAAAAGAGAGGTTTGGAAGCTTACAGGTGGTCGCCTAAAGCCTGTATGTAAAGAAAAAGCGAAGAACAGTAGGAGTCAGAAAGCTACTACAGCATCCAGAGCCAAGAAGAGGAAGTAGATTATTAGGGTTATAAGTTTTGGTCGGCATTGGCTTCGATAGTAGTAATACAATTCTCTTTATTCTTTTTTCCTGCACATTTTAATGTCATCAACAGCAGACCGTTGGACCAATCAGACCGTTCCGGCTCTGCGGTTTTCTTGGGAGATCGATAAAAAACGTTCGGCCCAGCAATGGCCACTTTATTACTGAACTTCTATTTAACGCCCTAATTTTTTAAATTTTCCGCCCTAAACATACCCAAATAGACAATTTTGCCCTTACTTATTTCTAATCCCGTAATTTTTCGTAACCAATTTTTTCGACCTAGTCTGTTTGCTCCGCCCTCTGTCGCTCTTCTGATAGAACGCATGGTCGTGAGAGATGGAGAATCGATCCTGGATCTGGAGGAACTTGCACTTACGTTCTGGACGCCCCCGGATTGGATTGTGTCGAGCGCGCGGTTCCTCCACCGACATTTCAGCGCAGGTAAGATTCATCATGGTCTAGATCCCGATGGAGTTCTGCTGGCCGTACCTGGACACGGCGACGTCAACGGTGGCGCTGACATTTGGAGGACTGCTCACGTCGCATCGGATGTAGGAGACAGTGTCCGATGGGCCCAAGTTCCGGGCCAAGGATTCCGCTGGCTCCGCTGGTGATCACCGCTACTTTTCCTTCTTGCCTGCGAATGCAAAGTCAATCCGTAAATAATACATTGGGATGAAAAAATGAGACTTTCAATTACCTTCACCTTTTAATCATGGAAGAAACAAAGCTGGTGCCGCTCATCTTTCCATGGTCTGCAAATCAAGGAAGTCTTTTTCCCCCGAGGAATCTTAATTATATTCGCCGTTGAGGAAGGAGGTGGGCGGCGTCGAATTCATTCTTCCTCCTTCAGTTCGCGAGCAGCAGAAGTGGGCGGCGGCAAGTCGGCGGCAGCAGAACCGATAAGGAGGTGGCCGGCGGGATTCGTTCTTTCTTTATTTCTTCATCCTTGAGTGGCGTAGCAGAAAAGGTGGCGGCTTCGACGGGCGGAACAGAGCAAGGGGTTACGATCGATTTAGGGCGATGGAATTTCAGTGCGTTTTAGGAACTAGGGGCAAATGTATAATTTTAGTTCAATTTAGGGCGGTAATTTTTTAAATTTAGGGCGTTAATTAGTAACTCCCCTTTATTATAGAGATCGGACCGCTACTGTCATCGGTTGGCGGTTCTCCGGGTCCGGTTCACCGGTCAGATTCGATTTTTACAGCAAGGCCCCCAAGTCCAAGAATAGAAATTAAGACATACCTGTTGAAGAAATTAAGAATAGAGTAATCAAAAAATTCCCCAATACTCTCCCCGTGGCCTACGGCTGAGGCATTGTCTCTGTGATATAAACTATACAGATGATCGGCGACGGTGTCGAGGACGAAGAGAAATGGTTGGCGGCAGGGATCGCCGGTCTTCAGCAAAACGCCTTTTACATGCACCGAGCTCTGGTAATCCTGACAATATTGTTATCTCTGAATCAATTCAGTTTCTTTCAGGAGGGGAAAGGGCTCAAACTAGTCAATTTTTTGTTGTTGTCAAAATCTTTAATGTTTGCTCAGGATACGAACAATCTGAGAGATGCTTTGAAGTTCTTGGCGCAGATGCTCTCCGAGCTCCGTACTTCCAAGCTTTCTCCTCACAAGTACTATGAACTTTGTGACTGAGTGATCCTTCAAGATCTAGGTTTCTAGACTGAGCTCTTCCTTCCAGTTCGAAGGAGACATAATGAGAAACCCCGTCTGAATTATGATTTTGGCTTTATGTGATAGACATGCGGGCGTTTGACGAATTGAGGAAGCTAGAGATTTTCTTCAAGGAAGAGACGCACCGAGGCTGCTCGATCGTTGAGCTATATGAAATTGTGCAGCATGCTGGTAACATATTGCCTAGATTGTAAGCGCCAATCTCGTCGTTACTATCTTACTATTGCTTAGTTAGTTGAGACATGTGGCCTGCTCCATTCAGGGAATGGCTATGATTGTATGCATTCTGTTCCTCTCTATTAGATCTCTTGCAAGTACTTTATTTTCTGTTATAGCCCCTTGTTTTAGTTAATTGTGATGCTAATCCTGATCTTTTAGTAAGTGACTCTCAATCTTGAATTTTGAGGGATTAAAAGGCCACCAGGTTGCAATTTCCCCGCCCTTTTTTGTGGAATTTTAATATCTTGAATCTGATCTTGTTCCTCAAGTAAGCACATGTCATTGTGCTGATCCATCTATATGAATCAGTATACTGGCATTTCCAGCTGCTGGTTGAAACTTGGGTCAAGTCTTTGAATTGCAAATAGGTTCGAGTAATTATTAAGCTATTTTCTGGACTCTTAAATTCATTACATAATATATATATATATATATATATATGGTGGCTACTTCGGCGCACTCACTTTTTTGAGTGTACTGAGTGCACCCAACTCTAAAAGTGTCCACAGTACATTAAATTTTGAATTTTAATTAGTACTCTCGATCTAATATGATGATATGAGATAGAATCATAACAAATCAATCTATTGCCCTAACTTCTTAACCTTCAATTTTGAATCCCAACCCAAAATTCCAAATTGTAAACCTAAACCCTAACCCTAAATCCCCAAATCCTAAATCTTTCAAATTAAAGTAAATTTTGAATGATTTTTTTTCAAATTCATGTGCTTCTTGTTCATAATATCGTAAGCAACAATTGATACCGTTTTGACAAGGATCGCATGCTTAGAATGACAATTATGAGGCGGGTGCACTGAGAATACGCCACCATATATATATATATATAATACATATATGGTTCAGGCTAGCGTACGCCAGTCGTACATTGTACGCCCATCGAGTTTTACTATTTAGAGCACCAATTAACCAAAATTTTGGGCATGATACTATACCCTAACCTCTAATGGGTGAACCCTAGTCCCTAATTTTCTAACCCAAGCCACAAGATTCATTTAATCTAAAAAATAATAACTAACGGTTCTGATTCGCCGAAATATATTGAAGTGCAAAAACTAAGTGGGAACACAGGCGTACAGCGTACAACTGACGTACGCTAGCCTTTGCCATATATATATATATATATGGTGGCTACTTCGGTGCACTCACTTTTTTGGGTGCATTCAGTGCACCCTCTAAAAGTGGTCATAATACACTAAATTTTGAAATTTAATGGGTTGTATTAGTCTAATATGATGATATAACATAGAATCCCAACTAATCAACCCATTACCCTAACCTATTAACCTTCAATTTTGAATCTCAACCCAAAATCCCAAATTGTAAACCCTAACCCTAACCCTAAATTCCTAAACCCTAAATCATTCAAATTAAAGTGAATCTTGAATGATTTTTGTACAAATTCATGTGGTTCTTGTTCATCATACCACAAGTGATGATTGACATCGTTTTCACATGAATCGCCTGCTCAGAATGATGATTATGAGGCGGGTGCATTGAATGCACCCAAAAAAGTGAGTGTGCACCGGAGACATAACCATATATATATATATATATGGGAGTTCTACGGTACCCGGGGTGAAATCTGGGGTATCGTATACATTGAGTAAGAAAACACTATCCAGAACTTGAATTGACTAATCCTTCGAACATGATAATATTCTAACCCTTAAAGATCAACATCTAGGTCTTAATTCACTAAATCTTATACCCAATATCAATTTAATTAGAAACAATAATCGACGGTTTTCGTCCAAATATTGTAAAAAAAATCAATGCACCATCTTAGAGTTTATAGTTTATGATTTAGATAATTAGGACCTAGAGTACACTCATTAAATGTTAGGGTATAGTATCATGACCAAAAATCTTGCTAATTCGAGGTCTAGATAGTGTTTTCATACTCAAGGTATGCAATACCCAGGATTTTACCCGGGGTACCTTAGAAGGCACCATATGTATATATATATATATATATATATATATATGGTCGCTTCTATCGTACCTTGGGTAAAATCGAGGGTATGACATACCTTGAGTAGGAAATTCTATCTAGACCTCTAATTAACCGGATGTTTCGGCGTGATAGTATACACTAACCCTTGATGAGTGAACCCTAGGTCTTAGTTAGCAAAATCATAGAGCCTAACCCCTAAGATTGTACATGTAATTTTTTGCATATATTTCGACGAATCATGACCGTCGATTTTCGTTGCTAATTAAATTGATCGTAGTGTATGATATTTATAGAATTAAGACCTAGATTTTAATCTTTAAGGGTTTTTGGAATGGTACAAGATGCCAAATTTGGGTCAATTCAAGGTCTAGATATCATTTTCTTACTCAAGGTATGTCATACATTGTATTTTACCCAAGGTACGATAGAACCATATATATATATATATATATATATATATATATATATATATATATATATATATATATATATATATGGTGGCTACTTCGGTGCACTCACTTTTTTGGGTGCACTAACTCTAAAAGTGTTCATAATACATCAAAGTTTAAACTTTAATTAGTACTCTCAATCTAATATGATGATATGACATATAATCATAACAAATCAATCTATTATCAAAGTTTAAACTTTAATTAGTACTCTCAATCTAATATGATGATATGACATATGATCATAACAAATCAATCTATTACCCTAACCCCTTAACCTTCAATTTTGAATCTCAACCCAAAATCCCAAATTGTAAACCTAAACCCTAACCCTAAATCCCTAAATCGTAATTCCTTCGAATTAAAGTAAATTTTGAATGAATTTTATTCAAATTCATGTGCTTATTGTTCATAATATCATAAGCAACAATTGATACCGTTTTGACATTAGTCGCATGCTAGGAATGACAATTATGAGGCGTGCACCCGAAAAAGTGGGTGCACCGAATACGGCACCATATATATTTATTGATGTATAAAGCTTTTGAAATATTGAAATCAGCCAACACTGTTGCTCTCTTATTTGCTTACATCACTGCTCTCCAAATCGTTTCAGGTATCTCTTATGCACTGTGGGATCTGTATACATCAGGTCCAAAGAAGCTCCTGCCAAGGATGTCCTTAAAGATGTCATGGAAATGTGTCGTGGCATTCAGCACCCTGTACGCGGGCTCTTCTTAAGGAGTTACCTTTCTTAAATCAGTAGGGATAAATTACCTGATATCGGTTCGGAATATGAAGGGTAAGCATATCTGGAGGGTCAGAGAGGCTGTTGAATATTTACTTGGAGATTTCTTTTTTGCCGAAGTTGAGTTGAGTGAATCCTCCTCTTTTAACCATGACAAGTTGGTTTATCCTAAGTGCGTCTAGTTATTTTTTAGATGAATAAATAGCTAGGTGAACAAAGTGTTCCTCTGGAAGTCTTAAAAGATAGTTATGTGCTAAGAAAACCTTGCATGTTAGCTATAGGTACCCCAGATTGTGGATAGAGTTATTTATAGTCAGTTCCAGTACTATCTGATCTTTTATTGGATTGAGTATTGCTAAATGATTAATGGCCTTTTGAACTCTTTCAGGGATGCAGACACAGTTGTAGATGCTGTTGAGTTGGTGCTCCAAAATTTCACAGAGATGAACAAGCTGTGGGTGTGAATGCAGCATCAGGTTGGTTGAAAAATCTATGACTGCCTGCTCTCATGTTTGACATGCATGAATTGAAATGCTTGCATTGCATGTCATCAAGGTAAAATATATCATGAGAGCATGATTTCTGGTCATGCAGGTATTAATTATACTGCTTGTGAATATATCATTCATTCTCTGATCCTGAGTTGAGGCTTAATTGCTGTCGGGATTTCTGGTCTACAGGGACCTGCCCGTGAAAAGGAAAGGAACGAGCTACGAGATCTCGTAATAACACGTTACTTCTTAACAGCAAAATTCACTGAAGCTAGCGCAGTTTGTGACTGCATGAGGTTTACTGATGGATGACTTGGTGATTGTCCCCATGTTGTATTAGGTTGGGAAGAATTTGCATGTCCTCAGTCAGGTAGAAGGAATTCACCTTGATATGTACAGAGATACAGTGCTTCCTAGAGTCCTTGAGCAGGTGCCTATTCACATTTCTCTTCTTCTACTTAACCTTTTTTGCATGAGGATACTTACTTGCTCATTGACGCTCTTAACTTTTGACCACTGAAGATTGTCAACTGTAAGGACGAGATTGCTCAATTCTATCTGATGAATTGCATTATTCAAGTCTTTCTGGATGAGTATCATTTGCAAACTCTGGAAGTTTTACTTGGTGCTTGTCCCCAGCTCCAGGTACCCAAGTGGATATTAATAGATCTGCAGTCACCTCTCTTTTAGCACACCTTCGGTGTTGCAGTTCCCATGTATTGAGATTTAGTTGTTTAGCTGGTTTTACTTTTTCATGTCCAGCCGTTTGTTGATATAAAGACAGTGTTGTCTAGATTGATGGAAAGGCTCTCTAATTATGCTGCTCAAGTTTTGCCTGAGTTCTGGCAAGTTGAAGCCTTTTCGAAGCTGAACAATGCTATAGGAAAGGTATTATTTCTGAATGATGTGTAACAATCTAAAACTTGTGATACTGGTAAATGCTTCTCTCGAACAGAGAGGATGTTGAGTGTTTACTTTTAGATAATGAGAGCAAATTTATGAACTATCCTTACTCTGTTACAATGGAATGATTTTGTGCTGCAGGTGATAGAAGCACAGCCAGATATGCCTATTTTTGGAGCTGTTACATTATATTCATCTCTCCTTACATTCACACTGCATGTGCATCCTGACAGACTTGACTATGCAGATCAAGTTTTGGTATGTGTTTAAATTGTGAATTCATTTGCTTCAGTTGTAGTGTGTGTGTGTGTACGTACCTTATATCGGATTACAACAAATTGCTTTCATTCTTTTTGTGGAAGAGTCTTAAATAACATGCTTTAATATCAGAAAACCTCTATGATAACATACGAAATCTAGAACAGCAATTATATAGTTAATGCTTAACAATTTCATTTGGTACATTGAGAAAAGCAGCTTTGTGCCTTTATTAATAGAAATTCCTGGAAACTCCATTGTCTGGACTTTTGTTGTTTGATCACTTAGATGCTCTAGCATCTCCGTTTACGTGCTGCTATTAGAAAGCGACATGGAGGAGTGTCCGTAATGAATGGAATACTGTTGGTGTAATAATTGAACTGTGCTTGTTGTGAGACAAATGTAAAGTGGTTTGCAATTGTTCCAAGCAACGAACTCTACTTTTCCATGTATACTATATTTTAGACTGATATAGTTCTTACTGCTCTGTACAATCCTGACCATAATATCTGAATTTCATTTCAGGGCTCCTGTTTTAAGAAACTGGAGCATGTGGGAAAAGTTGAAGACAATAAAGCTACAAAGCAAATTGTGGCGCTGTTGAGTGCACCTTTAGAGAAGTATAATGATATTGTCACTGCATTGAAGCTTTCTAACTATCCTCGTGTGATGGGGTATCTAGACACCGAGACCAGTAAAATCATGGCAACTGTAAGCATCCAAAGCATTATGAAAAACAACACTCGCATTTCTAGTGCTGACAAGACAAGGTTCAGTTTTTTCGCTTCTTAGTTACAATCTTTCTAGTGAAGCACGATTCTAATGAGTCGATTGATCATCAGTTCATTTGGTATGTAGGTTGAGGCATTATTTGAATTGATGAAAGGGCTTATGAAGGATTTGGAGGGCGCCACTGAAGAGGTTGCTTTCACGTTACTAGTCTTGATTTGCTTAAATTTTGAATATTTTCCAGTAGGCTCTACCTTTGTTGCGGTTCACTATTTTCATCGTATAGAGGGAAACTATGCTGTTGATTGGAATCGTGCCACTATGCTACATATAGTAGCCTGTAGTTGGTTGTAGTGAACTTTCCTCTGGATCTGATAATTTTTGTTCTGTATGTAGGTTAATGAAGATGATTTTAAGGAGGAGCAGAATTATGTTGCACACCTTATTCAGATGTTGATTAATGATGATCCAGAGGAGATGTTCAAGGTACTTTTTTTTGTGTTTGAAACCTTTTTTTTAGTTCTGTAAGGTCATCTCTTTTCATCTTTTCTAATGCATAGTAATCAATGAGTCAACATAACTAGAAAGTAATTTGGGTTGCATGCTTAAAAAACAAACACAACATTTGAAATTACATGGAAGCTTTCTCAGAAGTCTGATGTTTCTCAACTGGATTTTTGCAGATCATGTGTGTGGTGAGGAATCAGATAATGTCAGGAGGACCGAAGCGCCTGCCATACACCATTCCTTCTTTTGTCTTCTCGTCCTTGAAGGTTCTGCAAAGCTTTACTTGTTGGCTATGAGTGACTAAGTGCTGCTCAAAGTCCAAGGTTTGCTTTTCTGTTGTGCTAGCTTATTCTTATCTTTTTGACTTGCAGTTGGTTAGGCAGTTGCAAGGGCAAGATGAAAATCCATTTGGCGATGAGGCTACAACACCAAAAACAATCTTTCATCTTTTGAATCAGGTAGGATTCTCGTGAAAGATTGTCTGTAATGTCAGTAACTACGTGTTTATTTTTTTCCCTCGACATAACTAATTAAGGTGATATGAACTTGTCATAGACTATCGAGGTATTGCCGACTTGTATCTGGGAACATACAGGCCTTGATGCTTTTGGGTGTGAAGCAGAAGTGCACTAGATTAGGTTTGAGAAAAAACTTGAGTTGATGAGATATGAGATTTTTAGTTTTATATTGGTTTTGGCCCTTATTAAAAGTGACTTAACTTCTATTTTTAGGGAAAGTGTGTCGTTAGGTTTTAGGAAAATTGAATTTATGAGTTATGATTGAGATAGCGCTTTTAGTAATGAAGAGAAATAATTCTGGGATTGTGGATAGTTTTTTAATAAAAAGAGGTACTGGACTATGAGTCATGAATATTCGGGCTATACCTTTTACAATAGTTTCTTATTTCGTGGAGGCAATGTTGAAATGTAACTTTTCAGTGAGGCGGTTTTAGCTTTTAATAATTTGTGGATTTAGGGTAAACGGTATTTGAAAAAGGTGAGTTAGATTGAAGCACTATGTGAACTCTTCTTTAAGCAAGTTCTTTTGTTTAGCTGAATCAAACACTCCATGCTTGGTTATGTTTTGAACAGGGTTTTAATATGCTTAAAGCGTGCTCTGAGAATAGCCAATGGTGCGCAACAAATGTCTAATGCTGCATGGGGAAGCACAGGATCAGTCACACTCTTTATTGAGATTCTGAACAAGTAATCAATCAATCCTCAACCAGCCATCCCCTTTTGTTACATTCCCCGCATTATATTATGCTTTGATTTTACAGGTATCTCTACTTCTATGAGAGAGGGAATCAGCACATCACAGTCGATGCAGTAAACAGCCTAATTGAATTGATAACTAGGGATGGCAATTTACCCACCCATGGGTATTTTTGCCCAAACCCATTTATATCCATTTATATGGGTTGGGTATGGATTTATTCTATATGGATTTGGATAATGTTTGGGTAGGTGGAGTTGGGTTTAGGTTTTATTTTTGGGTATGGATTGAGCTTGGGTACCCATCTCCTCGGACTCACCTGTATATATTTTTTTTAGGGCTAATACCACTACAACACCTGAACTATGACCAAAATGCCACTTGTATCCTATTCTTTTCAATATTCCATTTATGCCCTGAACTATTTTTCCGTTAGTATTGACCGTTAAAAGTTAACAGAAAATCTAGTCACCATTGACAAGGCATCTGACATGTAACTTTTTATTTCAATATTTATTTTTTATAGAAAATGAATAAATAAGGTAAACAAAACCCCATCTCCGTGCGGCGGCCTCTTGACTCCACCTCTGGATATTTAATCCTCCATGTGCACTTCTAGTCGCGTCGCCGACCAAGAGACACCGCTCGCCTCGCCGGGAACTTCCCTCTCCGTAGGCCTTTTCTATTTCTCATTTCAGTCGCTGCAATCACAAACAACCGTCGCCACCGTTGAAGTCTCAGCCATTGCCAGCCCCAACAACCGAGAATCAGAATCTATTATATCCCTCTATGAGTCTTCCTTCTCGACTTGAACCCAGAAACCCAGATCTAATACCTCTGTGGTTCTATGGGTACGCTTCAAATGGGAATCGGCAGAAGAACGCCCCCCCTGCAAACAGATTCACAGTCACAAACTATCTGTCGTTCTTCATTGTCGCCGCCTCCAGATGATTCATCTACTTTGGACGAACCCAAATCTTCCCTCGTCAATTGTATCTGGAACCCACCAACCCAGAAAAAAATTTGGCAAAGGGAGTCGTAAGCAATCCTCAGATCCGGAATTCTGAGGCATATGCGAGAACGATTAATATCCTAGCATCCCTAATCAATTGCCACAACTCACCTGGTTGATTCCCTGCAAATCGAGGGTCAAGTCCTCCTCCAATCGCTCCAATCGATGACCGATTCATCTTCTTTAGAGTCGGTTTTCATGGAGAGGCGAAGAGGTCGGTGGTGACGAACTGACGATGGTCTGTCTCGAGCTCCACATCGATGGCGAAGTGGATTTTAGGATCGACGGAGTGGAGGGCGGAGTGACGCTAAGACTACTGCTCAAAAGCAGCCCTCCATCTAACTACCATCTCGCCTTGGTCCGCTACCGCGTCGCCCCGGTACCGCCTCGTGCCTCGTACGACGACTGTTAGATATGAAAATAGGAGTGGAGGAGCCAGAGTATCGGGTGAGGGAGAGGAACAACCAAAGGAGGGAGATGAAGTTTTTTTTGTTTGTTAATTTTGGATGTTTAAAATATTTTTTAGTAATATGGTTGAATTTAAAACTTAAAAGTTATCATTTTTTTATTTTCATAATTTAATTTTATTATAATTTTGAGTAAAAAATGATGTGGCAATGACATGGCGCCTATGTGGATGTCACATGCTTTGCCACGTCAGCAGAAGTCAACAACTGTTTGACTTCTGTTTGGTCAACCGTTATCTTTAACGGTCAACAAAATCGGGAGGACACAAATGACAAAAAATAACATACAAAAGGACATAAATGGAATATTGAAAAGGATAGGACACAAGTGGCATTTTGGCCATAGTTCGGGTGTTGTAGTGGTATTAGGTGTTAAAATGTAAAGCAAAATTTTTAATGTACTAAAATATAATTTTCCACATATGATGTTGAACCTATTTGTATCTTCTTAAAAACTTCAGGTACTAAAATGTAACTTTGGCCAAGTCCAGCTGCTTCGCCGGTGCCGAATGCCGGTCTACACCCCGCCGTCGCCGATATCCTCGAGCCGGTCTACACCCCGCCGGCCGCCGGTGCTCTGCTCGCTGTTCCCCCTCAACTGGATCGGGAATCGCACGGCTTCTCCGAGCCCCTTCTCGGCGTTCAGGTTACAGAGCTCTGCTCGCTGTTCCCCCCAAAACCAGAGCGCTGCTCAACTGGGTCGGGAATCGCCCCTTCTCGGCGTTCGAGGTGTATAAGATGGATGCTGTTCGGAGGAGATGGGTGCGTGCCGCGAACTTGAGCGGCGCTGCCGGCGACGAGGAGAAGAGGGCTCTGTTTTTGGGCGGGGGTGACTCTGTTTCGGTCCCCGCCGGCGGTGGGATTGCGGCGGACTCCGTATACTACACGGACGATGGCTGGGAGCAGATGGATGAGGATTACTTGTACGGAGGGCACGACATCGGGGAGTTTGATTTGAGAGAGGGGAAGATTAGGAGGATTGATGATGAGTTTGAAGAAGACAAATTCGACCCGGCTTTGCATCTCTCTTCTCTCTTTTCAGTCCGATTGGCTAGCTAGAAATCCACAGTTGTCTTCCTCTCTCCTTTCACCTTCTGCAATCACTTCTACCTCTTCCAGTTTCTGCTTATCTTCCATCTCTTGATCAAATTCAGCTGCTTTCTTCTTCTCCCCGTTCCCAATCAGACCAGAACTCTTGGCAATCAGTACCAAGATCCCATTGCAAACGATGAACATGTAATTCTTGTCCACAACTGTGCTGGAAAGTTTAAGGAACAGAGGAATCACATAAGCAGAATGCTGCAACAGTACAAAGAAGAAGAGAATTGGAGCTATGAGCTTTGTGGCCTTCTTAACAGACTGGGAAGAATTGCTCAGGGGAAGAGACTTGTTGTGATGGCTTGTGATGGCTTTGTGGCCTTCAGAGCTTAGATTCTGCTATCTTTCTATGCCTCTCAATCTCACTGCATCTCAAATTAACAAAACGAAACATCGGGCAAATCCAATCACAACCCTATAGTCAAAACACCATAAAGTCCAACCAGAAAGTCAAACCAACGAAATCTAATGTCGATTACAATCAAGTCCACATCGAGTCCAAGTGTTTTCAATGCACCAAGCATGTAATGAACATCATCACTATTCAACAAGTGGCAGATCACTAGTGTGACTTCAAACCCCACGATCAGCTGAAATCATTCTCCGCTACTTACCTCTTTACTCCAAATGTTCAAAACAGCTAAAGACTATGAGCACAAAAATCTCTAATCTGTTTCCTCCAATCTAAGTGGCAGATCACCAAATCTAACCACTGGAAATGAAAGTGATAGCATCGAACAGATGATCTCTTGGATGCTCCTCGTTCATTTCTACTACCAATATCTCCCCAAGCATTCAAACAGAGAAACAAAGTAGCTAGCTGAACAAATCAGAACTAAACAAGAGCCCAGAAAAATCCTCCATACCTCAGAGAGAGCAGCGAGAAGGAGAATCCGATTGGACAGGGACTTAGATCCAGGCTTGTTTGATGTGGTGGACGAAATAGCTGCTGCTAAGCTCACCAAGGCGAACGGTGGAGCGGCTACAGCGGGAGTCAACGGAATCAGCTATAGCGGGGCTCTGTAAATCCATGGAATGGAAGCCCTTTTCACAGAGGTACTACGATATACTAGATAAGAGGAACGAGAGGACTTTAAATCTCAATTAGCAAAACCCAATTAGTCAATTACCTGGGAAGGGTTTGGGGGACGATGAATGGAGGAACTCGAAGCGGCGGCGACGTCGGAGTTAGTGGCCGGGGCGGCGACGAAATCGGGGGTAGGGTTTCTGTATCTTTGGTGGCGCCGAGCCGCCGATGCGATTCAGTGGTCGGAGCCCGGAGGGGATGCCGAGATCGGAGGTGGCCGGGGTGGCGCCGTTCGAGTTGGTGGCCGGGGCGGCGACGTCGTGGCTCAGCCGGCTCGTCGTCGACGAAGATGGGTAGAGAGGAAGAGTTGTCGACTGTGCGAGAGGAAGATGGGTAGAGATGAGTCTTCGATTGTCTTAATTTTTTTTTTAGTTTCGTTTTTCTTTTTTTAATTATTTGGGTTTGGATTTTTTAACCCAAGTTCATGGGTAAAACCCAAGTAAACCCAACATAATGGGTATGGGTATTGAACCATCTAACTTTATCCATTTACACTTTAATTGGATTTCAGACCCAACCCAAATGGGTTGGATAGTTATAAACCCATGGGTATGGGTATAATTGCCAAGCCTATTGATAACTACTGAGATGCAACAGAATGATTGCAACAGAATGATTCAAGTTCTACTGCACCAGACCTGCTGCAAGGGATGACAATTTTACTCATACCCATGGGTATTTTACTATCCAACCCACTTGGGTTGGGTATGATATCCAAATAGATGGATATGGGTAGAGCTTGATGGGTTTGTACTAGAGGTGGCAAATGGATTGGATTGGTGGATTGGTGGATCCATGGATCAAATGGATTGGATCTAATGGATTGGTGGATTCATGGATTGGATCAAGTGGATTGGTGGATTATCCATGAATCCAAATGACATCCTCAACCAAGGACCAATATGTAAAATGTAAAAAGTTTAGGTACTAAAATGTCACAATGAAAAAATTTAGGTACCAAAACGTAATTTTCCAATGATAATTTTCGTATAAAAAATTAAATTTTAGGTACCAAAATGTAAAAAATAAAAATTATAGGTACTAAACCGTAGTTTGCCAATGATCCATGGATCCAATCCATGAATCCACCAATCCAATTGGATTTGGATCAAATGGATTGGATTTAAATGGATTGGATTAGGTGGATATTTTTAATGGATTGATGGATTGGATTGGTGGATTGGATTGAAATTGCCACCTCTAGTTTGTACCCATACCCATTTACTTGGGTTGGGTTGGGTTTTTAATAAATGAATTTGGGTTTGTACCCATGCCCAAATGCAAATTACAATTTGGTACCTAAATTTAATAGATATACATATTTAGTACCTAAAATTAATTTTTTTTGCATATAAGTCCCTAAAATATCGATGGAAAATTACATTTTGGTACCTCTATTTTTTTGGTCTTACATTTTGGTACCTAAAACACACTCAAGTAAATGGATATCCATATCCAACCCATACCCATTTAGATTATAAAAGCAATATTCATACCCATACCCAACCTATCTACAAACGCCCAAACCCATATGCACTTCACCCATACCCAACCCATTATCAATGGGTCTACTTGGGTTTGGGTATAATTACCCATGGGTGTGTAATTGCCATCGCTACCTACTGCCGAGGCTTTCCTTGCTAGTACAATGCGTTACATTCAGTTCCAGAAACAGAAAGGCGGTGGAATTGGTGAAAGATACCAAGTTATCAGTGCCGTCAAAAAGTAGACCCACTGGCACCCAGTTGGCACTGTGCAAAATGTATTGTTTCTCCTTGGCTTCGGTTGCTACCGTGTCGTCCTCGGGATCACTAGACCCTTTTTCTTCTGGTCAGAAGTTGAAGTTTGAATTTCACACAATCGTGCACATATGTAAAAGCCTGCCAAAGTAACATGACGCTTCACCTTTGTGATGACTTCGTTTAGGTAAAACATAAGAAAAAAGATGAGTATATAGTAGTTATGTCAAAGTTTCGGTCTGTTGCTGTGAGGACTCGTGACTGCGAAGAATGATGACACAAATGTTCTTGCTGTCCTAGTCTGCTTTCAAGCCGTGACGGGTCTCAGAATAAATTTGGAGAAGACCCGAATATTTCCAATTGGTGATGTCCAAAATATGGACAGGTTAGCTGAGATCCTTGGCTGCGAATGGGGTTTCCTTCCAACAGTATACCTGGGAATTTCCAATTGGTGATGTCCAAAATATCATCAGAATGCAGAACAAAATGGATAGCTGGAAAGGGAAATACCTGTATATGGTTATTTTTGCCATCCCTATTTACTAGCCCAAGCAATTGGTGTTAAAAAAGAGTTCCCAAAGTTCAAAAGTAGAATAGACCAAATTAAAAATCGTCAGTCCATTTTCATATTTGAAAATGGTATTGTGTTAGAGCATCCACATTAGAATTGCATTTTGAACTTTATTATGATATGACAATTATTTGCAATTTGATCCCGTCCACGACCACAGTGTTGGTCGCCGGGAAGTCGGAGCCTCGAGCACCCAGACTCCCTCAAATTGAACAATGACAGTGTAGGAGTCTAGCAGACTCTGGGCTGCCGCCAGATCCATTGCAAGGTATCTGATGATCCTGGTAATGTAAACTCCTTCGTGCAGAGCCATCAATCTCATATCTGAACCATGACGGCTAAGAGTGTACAGGTTGGAACTTCCGAGATGGAGTCGGCTGCCACTCTGCATGCTCCAGATAAGCAGGACATCTCTGGCAGTGAGGTTGCCCTTGCTCCCACACTTTTCGCCAACTGAGCGAGAAATGACTTGATGGATTAGCCGGTACTCAGGTCGCACCTCACTCCCTTTAGACAGCTTCACATCCCAATGTCTGCAATGAGGGATCTTCATGACATTCTCATAAAAGTCACGATGAAAAGAGAAGTCACTCTCTGCCTTCAGTGAGGAGTAGGAGTGATGATCGATGACGAACTCATGCAGATAGATGTTGAGACAAAGGTGAACCTCCTCATCGTCATCTCGTGCTTAATTGCTCCTAACCTGAAGCTAATCAGAGGGTTTTCTTCAGAAGCAACACCCTTGATGTTCCGAGTGTGGAGGGTACTTAGGAACTCAAGGATAAGAAATCTATAAATCCTCTCAATGATGTCCAGCACTCTGAGCCAAACTGGGTCCTAGATCCTGGATCTGATAATCTTGTCCACTCCTAACTGGGTAACTAATACCCAGTTAAGGCACTCGCTCTCCCATGTAGCCACCTCGTGGAATCTCTTACGATATTCCTCAGTGAGAAATTGAATTGCCTGGAGGAAAGGGCGAACAATACGAGGCATCACTATTCTTAGAGCTCTCCTCTAAGGTCATTGGGGCTGTTGCTCGCCCTCTTCCGGCTGAGGCTCTGGGTCCGAATGAGTCTAAGGCTCTGATAACACCAAAATTGGTATTATTTACCCTACATATCGAGGTGTGTTTTTTGCCAATTCATGTGCTTAAATGCTTAAAACATCATCAAATACATACATATTGCGTTCCTATTTGATTTCAATGTGATTTTAGGGTGTATTAGTCGATATGTGTGAATTAGGTACAAAATAAGGTCACAAGTGTAGAGAAGGGGCACGAGTTGAAGATCGTGATCTAGAAGCCAAAGATTACAACCAGATGATTCGGGCCTAATTGTGCATGTTTTGCCCCCATTTTCCTTTGAGGCGTCGGCCGTGAACTTTGAGGCGTCCAGAGCCAAAATGAAAGTTACTAACGCCAATTGAGTTCACGGTCGCTAAGACCGTGAACAGGAGCTGTTGGCCGTAACCAGTGGAAGCAAAGCGGTGCATTTCGGTGCCCATCTTAAGTTCACGGACGGGCATCTGAGCTAAAAGGAAGAGAGAGGGGAGAGCCCATTGTGTGAGAAAGCCTTCTTTAGATTTTTAGAGAGAGAAAGACGAACCAAAGAAGAATGGGGCTAGGGTTTTGCTCCAAGGTGGGATTCGGGAAGAATCTCCGCAAGAGAAGTTGTGCACAAGGGTCTAGAAGATTGGAAGCCTCCTTTAAGATGGTTTCTACCTCTTCTCCTTGTGTTTCCCCCATTTCTAGCATGAAGTATATTTCTTTTCACTTGGGTGTTGTGAAACCCTTACTAGCTACCATGTAGTTTCTTTTATGTGAATTGAATGATTGTCATTGGGTATTGTTTAATTCAATGATTGAGGTATTATTCATGTTGATTGTGCATGCTTGTGCTTAGCAATCTAAGGGTTGTGCATGTTTTGTGCTTAGCATCCTAAGGATTGTGCATGTTTTGTGCTTAACATCCTTAGGTTTGTGCATGCTTGTGCTTAGCAACCTAAGGATTGTGCATAATTGTGCTTAGCATCCTTAGATTTGTGCATGTAGGTGCTTAGCAATCTAATTAGCTACTTTAACCTAGATTAGTGAAGAAAATCCCCCTTTTAAGAGAGACTCAATCGAGTTGGTTTTCCTTTAGCTTTTTAAGCCACCTAACTAGGTTAATTTGGGGCAAACCATAATGTTGAATTAAGAAAATTGGTTAAGCGCGATTAAGCTGTCCAACCCTTGAGTTGAGTGAGGGAGTAAGTCAACCACCGATTGCTTAAACCGAGAGGGCCGAGTGACACGACCAATAATGTTTACTTAGGTTTAGCAATTGAGATAGTGGTCTACCACCATATTTGCATCCCTCTGCGGTTCGTTGTTACCTTGCCCATAGCAATCGTTCCAATTCACATACCATGGTAGTAGTTAGGGGGAAGCAACACCCGAGTGATCCTTCTCACAAAGAGATTTCAAAACCATTTAGCTTTGCCTTATTTTAGTTTAATTAGTAAACTTTTCAACCTAAACTTTGTTGCTAGATAATGATTCAAATGACTAAAGTAGGGGTACACGGACAGACTCGTGTAGATATTTAAACATACTTATCCTGTACTGCACCCAACTAAGGTTTATACTTGGACCTTAGGCAGAAATTTATTGTGGTATTGGGGACCAGTCACCAGGATACCAAGCCGCGGTGTCCAGTTAAAGATCGCGGCCCAGAAGCCATAGATCGCGACCGCGATCTTGGAGGCTCCGGACGCAAACTTTGCAAGGAAGGGGCCTTGGAGAAACAGAGAGTCTCCTCAGTCAAGTCATGGCCAACGTTCATATTGCTCGCGAGGAAGATTGCGGCCACGACTCTTGGATCGCGACCACAAAGTCGGCCTCCGATCTTTCCCTTCCAGAAGGCCTCGATGGCTGCGTTTTGAGATCACGGCCCAGAGACCAAAGATCCCACCTGCGATCTCCTTACCTCAGGTCACAAATTTCCCTAATCCAGAATGCCTATATATACAAGACCCCTTTCCCCTTTTTAAGAGAGTTGAT